TTAAATAACACGGAATAGGTCGACTATCAATAATAATTGGCCCTTTAATTCTTTACAACCCCAATTTGCTGAACTAATGTAGAGTCTTACCATTAAATTCCATTGAAGTAATTGACCATAGTTCAATTGTAGTGACAATCCCTTGTTGTCCCCAATGTCCCTCCTCTCCACAGACGTTAGCAATTGCAAGTACCACACCACCAATGAAGATCGCTTGGGCTAACAAGGGCTAACGAAGAAATGGCTTCCCGTCTCATGAATCGAAATATAGTGAGGATGTGTCAATCGTACTGCCGACAGTTGTTCCCTTTGATAGAAAGCGGCATTTTTTTTAAACCAAAAAATTTGTTTACCATGTCTACTCTCTACTTATAATTTTAAGAAATTGACTTCAGCAAATGGAAAAAGGTTTTAATTGAAATTGAACAGTATACTAAGCCAAATGCTTCAGAATTGGCAGCCCTTCCTACAAGCAGAAGAAATCTCTGGAAAAACGTAATCCAGTTGGACTATGGCAGGGAGGAGGGCATTCCTTGCCAAGTCCGACAGCAATGGGTGAGCGTTCAAACATTTTCGCAGGAAAGACAAGACTGACGGCGAGCAAGGCCATCAATTACGGACCACTGTGGGCCAACGATGGGCTGCTGTGGGCCCCCTCTCCGCCGGAGCAGGAGGCATGTCCTCTGGGTTAGGTCAGGCCTCTCTCTTCGAGATCGGACTCTGCATCCCTAGCACCTGCTCCTCATCGGATCTTCGGGTATTGCAAACAATAGGGTAGTGTGTTGAATGGAACTCCGCGAATAATTTTTTTCTGACCATGTAGGCGTCGCTGGACGAGACGGTGAAGAATTACTCGTTGGCTTCAAATGTTCTGAGCTGTGATGACGCCAGTCATAAAGCGTTGAGCCCGGCTGAAATCGGTGTAACGTAAGCGACTCGTGACTTATACACTCTTCATTAAAAAGCGAATTATGGAAAAAATATTCCAAACTATTATTTTTCTCGCACCCTCCAGGATCATGTTCGCGATCATCGGGTTGTATTTGCTGGCCGGGACTGTCCTAGACATTTACCAGAGAATTTCTTGCAACAAGCAACTCCAAGGTAGGAATATAATAAAGATAAACCTACAAAATGATTAGATAGTTCTCATTTTCGTTGCAGTATAAGCATATTTTGATTCAAACTTCCTACTCTTACTTAGATCTACAGATCAAGTCGTGCAAGTTGTACAAGGAATTTAATAAGTATTTTCAATGGTTTGTTGTTACAACAGAGTTGCACGTGTGATATGTGCTATTGGACTTTTTCAAATCGAAGGTTGTTGGAGATGTCACATCTCTGTCATGTAGACGCGACCTTTGCCCGAATAAGTGGAAACACTCATTGGGTTCACGTGATGAGTGTTTCCGTCCCACTCCCTGTGACTTCATTCAGATAAGCAGACACATGTCGCAATCTGACCGTAAGATTTCAATGTTTTCAACGCTTGGGAAATACCTGTTTTGAAGTGCTGTGACTAGAATTCAAGAAGAGCAAATGCTCACACGTTTCCCACCTACCTTTCAAATAACGTAACGTAAAGACCACGCATTTCACCTCTACATTCAAACTATGACATTTATTTCATGGCTTTCTAGCGCTCTCGGCATCGGTCAACAACCTTTCCCTCATGAAGAATTACTGAGCCCATTAATGCTATTTTATACTTGAATTGAGTTAAAAATAAAAAACGACACTTCAGGAAAAATATTAATGGCGCAACGATGCGTTGTGAGCCTTTTGTAACCGAATAATGCTGTAAATATACTTCATCAGCTGTTGAAATATCGTGCATGTTGCTTCCAATCCACAGATTATTTATGTCATTCGCAGGGAACTCTCCAAAACTTGTTTCTTCACTTGAGAGTGGGAATTCGAGACGATTATTTGCAGTCATATATCTGAAGGGCTGAAGCGCTGTAGTAATTGTTTTGGAAATATTAAGAAACCCCTGCACGTCAACGCGAACGGGTGCAGTCAGGCACGTTGCCATTTTTCACTCCTTGTCACAAATCAGCAGACTGAGAATTTCGACGTACAGCGATCGTCTTCATCATCACAATTTCATTATCAGTAAAAAGTTTTGTTTTCCTTAGCCTTATCTTTAGAATCTTGAACTTCGCCTTCCCTTCCTCATTCCTAGGTAAACTGAACTTCTCGCCCGAATGTTTGGAACTATGGGTTCATTGAGAAACCTTACGTTGCCAGAAGGCAATGAGTATACATTCGGTCCTAATTTCCTACTGTGGATCCTATCGTTATGGTTGTAGCACTTCACACTCTAACCCTCCATCGGTCCGTCAGCACCGTACTGGTGGAAACAGTCCTCATCCCACTATCGACATCTGGATTGGATTTACGATTACAGCGACTTGCGCTTGCTGATGAGGATGAACGTAGGGATTGGTGGTACAAGCAGGAGCGGGATACTTGAAAACGGGAATTTGTTGATGCATAGCGAATCGAATTCCATTTTGGGAAATAGGATAGGTATTGAAAAGCCTTTTACATGGTATCAGAAATTGGGAACTGAAAGAGGACTCTTGGCGGGAAGAAGAACCCTTGACCTCCCCCATGAATAATTTTTAAATTGAAATGCTCTCCTTCAGCCGAGAAAGTTTATCAGTGCTTGACGGTTGTGCAGGAAACACAAGGAAGATCCTAATAGCGGGCTCAATTCTTACCAATGGGGAAAGGATACTTTCGACCAAGACCAGGAAGGACAACATTGGATGTCTCAACGGAATCAGGTCTGTACGGCTCGCGCTATGGTGAAACACATGCAATGTCCTCATCAAACGTCTGCCTCTTTTATGCAGGTTCATAACGATGACGTGGGTGGTGCTCGGGCATGTTTACTCCTTCAAGCTCATAAGTATTCCTGCCGTCAACCCCATAAGCTATATAGAGGTGAGAATCTTGAATAATATTGGTCCAATTCGGTTGTGGAAATGAAAATGTGTGACGCGGCTGCCCGAAGAATCTAAACTCTTTAGAATGCTTCAATCAATGGCAAAAATACGACCACCTATATAATCGACGAAATAGGATAGGATCATTTTGCTGATTTTGCATCGAAATTTACATTTGGCATGTCGGAGTTCCATAGTTTTTTCTCCCATGATCGATTACTTTAGACAAGACTGATGGCAAATGAAAGACTTCGCATTGCTTTCCACTGGCATTGCTACTTCGACATATATTTCGACATAATCCGGATGTGCGGATGGGTTATTCTTGTAGCATTATTCTGGGATTCGCACAACTGCGAAATAAATATTTTGAGAGGACAGCGAGGAAGGCAGATGCCAGATGCACCTCAGCCCATACACGCTTCCAACTCGAGGACCAGAAACTGGTGGGAACTGCATGAAACGATGGTAAAAAAAAGTAATAATAAATATAAATTATTCATTCCATGATGGAGTGATAATAGTTTGCTTCTGGATTCTTTTTATCTTAAGCAGAGTTTTCCGTGATCCCTTAAAAACCCGTTTTCACGTCCATTTTCTGCAAACGCTATCATGCGAACGTTTATCCTGTTCGGCTAACGTTACCTTTTTAACATAAACGATATCGAATCTCCGTGGTTATTTGAAATTTAACAGATCCATTCGTAAGGAATCTTCTTAGACACATTCAAAGGATATTTTAACGCTGAGTTATGTTTGCAGATGGTAAACGATTGGAAGTTCATGGCGATCGTAAATGCAGTCGTGTCCGTAGACACGTTCTTCTTCCTCAGTGGCCTCCTCGTCACCTACCTTCTCCTGAAAGAATTGGACAGGAACAAGGGGAGATTCAACATCTTCCGCTTCTACTTCCATCGATATATCAGGTCTCTCTCCTCCTCCACCACCGTGCACTCCTCAGAGATGAAGAGAATATTTATGGATGCCTCGCCACGTCGTGCAGAACATTAATATCAATTGCATATGTGCCGGAACCCCGAGTAATACTACATAGCTGGGAACCAGCAGGTTCCTATCTTTTATGGAATGGCTGGAAATTTAATCCCAAAAGAGTCTTTCCTCCCCTAATATGAGCGCATCAGATAGAGTTAAGCTGATCCAGACGATATCAGCAAAAGGTAAGTAAAATTTCCATAGCAACGCTAGGAGTGCCGTCAATACTTTTTTTTATATATTTTTTCCAATGGAAACATGATGCAGCGGGGAAGAAAGTAAGCAATTTTCAGGAACGCCATTTGGTAAAACTGCACGGAGGGCAAAGAAGCAATGCGGCAATTATAGGTCGGTAAGTCTCACGAATATCCCAGGGAAGATTATTGAGAGCATTCTAAGGGACAACCTTTTTGGATTTCCTCGAAGGAAACGCGTTCATCCGGGACTTTCAGCACGACTTTAGGAAGCGTCGTAATTTTTTCACCAACCTGCTCGAATTTACGATTGAGCGACGGAAGAAAGGGATAAGGGCGAATCCAATGGACATCCTCTATTAACTATACGGTAGATTTCGCGATACCGTTCCTCACAAGAGGTTGCGGGTTAAACTGGAGGCGCATGGGATCCAGGGTAGGACGAACGAGTGAATCAGTAGCTGGCTGACAGGAAGAGAGCAACGAGTAATGGCAAATGGGGAAGCGTCGACCGAAGTCGGTGTCGCAAGCGGGGTCCCTCAGGGCGAGGTCCTGGGACCACTTCTCTTTCTGGTCTACATAAACGATTTGGATCTAGGCGTAGAAGGTATGATAAGTACATTTTCCGACAACACCAAAATGGGTTTTTCTATAAGGGGGGAGGCGGATAGAGCTAGAGCCGAGGAGATTTGAGTCTTTTGGATGAGTGGAGAAAGAAATGGTTCATGAGGTTTAATAAAAGTAAATTTAAAGTTATCCACGTCGGTCGAAGTAACGGTAAGTCTCTCGACGCGTTCGGCGAGGATAAATTGGAGGCAAACTAAGAGAAAGATCTAGGAGTTTCTGTCGACGAAGACCTCAAGTTTTCCTCGCACGCGCAAGCGACAGCGGCCAAATATTGATATAATAGGATGATAGTTTTCATTAGTCGTTCGGTTGCAAGTAGGAACTCACACGTTATTCTTCCGTTGTATATGGCACTGAAAGGCCCCAATTGGAATATTGCATCCAGTTTTGGAAGCCTACAAATTAGGGTGAATTGATGACCCTCGAGGGGGTACAGAGGAGGGCCACAAGAATGATAAAGGAGGTTAGGGGACTTCCGTACGAGAAGCGTTTAGAAATGCTGGAACTGTTCTCGCTCGAGAGAAGGTTAAGGAGGGGCGATCTCAACCAGACTTTCAAGATAATTAAAGTAATTGATAATGTTGAGTGTGGTAGATTCTTCCAATTCGATGGCAGCCAGAGAACGCCAGGTAATCAACTCAAGTTGCGTAAACCGTAGGTGCGGCTCAGGTCGAGAAAGGATATCATTACTTGTAGGGTGGTAAACGCTTGTAATAATGACGACAACGACGACGACGACGACGTAGTGGCTGCCCCGTGTCGTGACTATTTTTTAGAAGAAACTAGATGCTTTTATGGAAAAGCAGAAAGGGGGCAATGTTGACTTATGGGAATAGGCAGGAAGCAACTAGGATATGCTCAAAAAAAGCACCAAAATACGAAAATATTTAGCCTGAAGAGTAGGCCTACCCTAAAATTAACCCTTTTAGTGCCAGGGAAACATATACATTTTCGTTTTTAACCCACGAATTGGCTGCGTGGCACCAAAAGGGTTAAGGAACGCTCGACCTCGACACGTGGTATCCAAATGGGTGTTATCGACTCTTGTTACCACTAAATTACCTTAATACCTTAATGCAACTTGAAAAAAAAAACTCAGTTCAGGGAGAAATGTTATCGCCTGCTTGGATTCCGCGAATTTTGAGACATTTTTTGAGGAATCACAATCTCAATAGCAAGGTAACTTCTCACCACAACAATAACCTAGATTTGTGACCTGCAGGTATATTTATTCTGTATATACAGGGTGGCCCAAAAGTAGGTATACAGTATAGTTTATTTGCATTTTATTACATTGTTTATTACATTTACATTTGTTTAACACTGTTTAATCTCGTAAGTGCTCGAAATGTCTTCCATTGAAAAGAAGGAATGTTCAAGTTCGCTGCCATCATTCACAATATCTGTAAAGAAAAAGAAAATTAAAATAATAAAAAAAACTAAACAACTGTATACCTACTTTTGGGCCACCCTGTATAAGGAACGAGTAAAATAGTTTCGCACAAGACATTAAAAATCACAACCTGCTGTCCCTAAGGAGCGATTCTCTCTCGGCAAATACTTTCCGCTCATTGGACAACTACGGTCTCAATTTGTTGCGAGACTAAGGCATAACAGAAAATAATGGGATCCAGGGAAAGACCCACTCCTTGAGAAAAGCATATAGAAATACTTCCTTTTCATCACCACTAAATTCGGGCAAAAAGGAGAGGATCTCATCTTATAGAAAAGAAAGAGAACGTGTTGAAAGAATCGCTTCTACTTCTAAACTTCACGGGGTGAAATTGAGATGTTCTAGCTACAGTGGTGGTCAAAATTAACGTACCAGGGTTTTCTCGAATGATAGGGAACCTACGCGGCTCAAACGTTTTGCATTGGACAGCTGCCCATGAGTGCTGATCCGCCTAAAAAATGGGTGACTCTAGTTTGTTACATCCCAGTTACGCAGCTGTTTTACATCGGCGTGAGGAAAAATACTTCTTTCAGGGAAGTATCGCTACGAGATTGTTTTCATGCCGCTCGTCCCTTGCGTCCGAAGCTCTCTTCTGCGCCATCGCAAAGTACAAAAAGATCTTAAAGCCAGCGAAGGCCAGTTGGCTTAAAATCTATCGAGAGACGGGAATGGTGGAGGGAAAAGAGTGATCGTTCGGACTGTCAAACACCTGGGTAAGGTGCATGCTTGGGGCTGCCTCTATGCTAGAGGGATTGGGAAGATCTGTACCTTCACTCAGAACCTGGATGCGCATCTGCTGAAGACCATTTATGAGCGTGCCCTCTTTCCTTCTACAGCTATGTTTCCCGATTCATTGAAGACTTGTGTGCTGCAGGAGGAGAATGATCCAAAGCACACTTCAAAGCAGGCGATCAACTGGAGGGTTGAGAATGGAGTGTTCCGTTTGGACTGGCCGTCGCGGTCTCCCGACCTCAACCCCATTGAGAATTTGTGGGCTCTCTTGAAGGTCAATGTGGCGCATCGGCGCCCCAGATCGATCAAGACTTTAAGAGCAATAATTAAGGAGGAGTGGGAGAATCTGAGTGAAGAATTCGCCAAAATATTGGCAGACTCGATGCCGGGTCGATTACGTGCTGTAGTAGAAGCGCAGGGCGATTATACTCTGTATTGAAATCAGGGTTCTGTATGTACTTTCTGTTGATATAATAGGTTTTCCTACATCTCTCGTTGAATAAGAGAAAACCCTGGTACGTTAATTTTGACGCGTACTGTAAATCAGACTGGTTCCAACGTTAGAGACTTCGCGGTTTATTTGCGGTTCAACTTTCAATGTGAACTTGACACATTTTCTCCTGTTACTCGATACCGATTTATTACAAAATCATTATAAGGGAGGACGCCTAGGGGCCATGTGTAACGGTCAGACGCCAGTTAAGGTGACTTTCTGTATAATGGTGACATGTAATAACAAAGTGGCATCCAATCACATGAAAAATTCGAAATAGCTGCAGTTAAAATTTCAGAAATGGATGATTAAATGCTCCATTATGCCGGACGTCGAATTTACCCACTGCTACGTAATCTCTATTTTTTAATGTAGAAAATTCCGAAAACACACACGAAATGGAGACTGCGAAGTGAAGACTGTCGATTATGAAGGTCTATTTCCCAAGACGTATTGCGCCGGACACTCCAATCGCGACTTCCGAATCAATTCAGTAAGACTAATGGAAATCACATATTAATGTACTTGAGAGGAATCGCTCAGTGTGCGGCTCTGAATATTCAGAGTGGAAGACGGTTTCCTTTCCCTCTCCCCAACATTTTCACTGTTTTTGCTCTTTGTTCCTGACACGTCGCTGTACCGTAGTTCTAACGTAAAGGCAACCATGCAAGTTAGATCTTTCACTTAAGGAGCAATAAATTTTCTCCTTTTCAGCAATGAAGACTGCACGCTTTTTGAAAGTCTCGTAAATTACACATTTTAAATGTTGTGCAACCTTTTGGGTAAAAATCTAAGCTGCTATTGCTCCCATAGCTGGAGCAAGTGTTAGAATAGTTAGTTCCTGAATTCGTAATGTTTACTGATACTTAACAGAATTCGTTTGTAAAGTACTTCAACAACCCTCTTTAGGACCCTTCTCGATTAAAATTTCTTAATTGTCTATCACTACAGATAGAGAAAATCTTACTAACGGTTTCTCCTATCATGGATACGTTGGCCTTCAATTGATAAGAACTGAGTTATGACAAATTACAATAATAACAGACGAAGTTAATATGAATATATAAAACAAAACACTGAATTTTATCATTCCGGAGTGGACATAATATTTAACTTTTAGGCAATTCAGACACTCTACAAACGTACAATTAGGTCTCATGGCATTAAGCCAAATGGCATTCGGCATTGTGCCCTTCACAAGCAATAGAGAGCTTCAAATACTATACCTCATACACACGCGCAGTTAGTTATGTATGAAATCGATGTGAAGCAATTCTTACTGGGAAATGAATTAAAAGCAAATATTGGAAAGATAGGTGTATGTGCAATGCATCATGCAATGTGTGCCGAGTAAAGCTGCAGCATTAAATACAATCGGAACATGCGTACTATGCTGCATATGGGAAATGGGCTGGAAGATGTGGCAGCTTCATGCATTACAATGTAGCCCTGTACCAAGAATGCCTAGCTTTACAAAATTGTAATGAACAAAGGTCAGTTACATTCTCGTCACATCTCGAAGAGGACGAGTCTCAATTTTAAATTCATGTTCAAGAATGCAAGCCTACTATGAGGAAAGGACCATAGACTCCCAGATCATGTTTGAATCGCATTACCAATTATCCATTTTCACCCATCACCGCACATTCATTCCGGATATTTTCTCGAAACAATGAGGGTTCCTTCCTTCAATCGTACACCTCCTTGTTAACGACACATTCGTTCTGTACCTGTTCCAGGTTGACGCCGGCCCTTGCCCTGCTCATCGCGTTTACTACGGTCTACATGAGTCGACTCAGGTCTGGGCCTTATTATTTCAACCTCCATCAATTTCTCACGAAGGCCTGCGAAGACTACTGGTGGAGGAATCTCCTCTACATCAACAACCTCTTCAAGCAGGAAGAAATGGTTCGTCAGTCCTGTCACGGATCCTTGTTCCATCATTTTCGACCTGTTGTTACAACTGAACCATGTTAACTTAATCTGATTCATTCTGATAGTGTGCAGCACATACGTGGTACATGGCCAACGACATGCAAATGTACATCATCTCACCACTCTTCATCTTTCCCCTCTTTATGTGGCCGGTTTGGGGTGAGAGACACTCACGCATCCAACGAAAGAACTCATTTCGAGATCAGAAAAAAAAAACAGCATAATAATTGTTCATGTTAGGTGTTTGCCTGGCAGTTGTGGGTACGGCATTGAGCGCCTTAGCTACGGTCTTGGTTATGAAGACCTACGATTTGCCTGGAACCACTACTGGCTACGATGTCATGCAGTTAGAATCCTTTTTTTTTTCAAATTTGTGACTTTCGTTGAAGATCTTGCTGAGAACATCTAATACTTTTCCCTTCTAGCCCCTTGCCCAACACGAACAACTTTGACCTCTTTTATGTGAAACCGTGGATGCGACTAGGTCCCTATCTTATTGGAATCCTCACCGGATACCTTCTCCATCGCATGAAGAAGACAGGATTCCGATTTCCAAAAGTATCCCATCTCGTATGATTCCCAGAAACCCAATATCTTAATAGTTTCTGACAGCGTATTGGGTTTCTTTATAAGGGGACAGCAGTGTGGGGATGGGCGATGGCGACAGCGTGTAACCTCGCCGTACTCTACGGTATCTACGGCTACATGCCCCTGGATTCTCCTCAGATGCCTCGCGACCTTCAGCTCACCTACAACGCCCTCTTTCGAATAGCCTGGGCCTGTGGAGTTGCCTGGGTCGTCCTCGCGTGCGCCGCCGGCAGCGGAGGTTAATCTCACTATCCATCTCACCTTCTCATCCATTCTCCTTCATCGTTATTTTTAAACCAGACAATGCAGTGGTTTGTTTTGTTCATGTCTTCGTAGGTTCCATTGATGCGCTTTTGAGCTGGAAAGCCTTCATTCCCTTGGGACGACTGACCTATTCTGCCTATTTGACCCATGTTTACATTCTGCCCTGGTTCTGGTGGAGTACCAAGACCTCAGTCTACTTCGATCATGAGACTCAGGCAAAATTCACACAGTATTGCGGAAAGTGTACATCGAATTTGTGCATTTCAATAAGCAGATTACTGCCTTGCAGGTGATCGATTTCCTGGCCACGGTTATCATCATCCATGCAACCGCTTTCATTCTGACTCTGATCGGAGAATCCCCAATCCTCGTCCTTGAGAAGACCTTCCTCTTCCCAGGTAATTCGTATGAACTTTGAGGAGAATCCAGACATACCTATCTGATATCTCTTACTATCTACAGGAGAGTCGAAGCCAGCCACAACCAAGCAGAATGGAGCAGAAACAGTCCATGAAGAAGGCGTCACCGAGGCTGGAATTGGGAATGAGGGATCTGTGGATGCAGAGGTCCACGAAAAGGGACTCGTCAAGGATGGAATGGATAATAAGGGATATGTGGATGAGGATCGCGGGAAGACCAATGGATTCCCAACTTGATGACCTTTTAGAGCAAACTCCAACCATGTTTCCTTTCTCTGAATAAAACAATTTAATATTCTGGATAAAAGCAGTACAATTTCTTTCTGGTTTCCATTCGAATGGGTCAGTGCCTCTTGATCGATTCTAAAATAGGCATTACTCACTTTCATCACCTTGCGAACCTACTTCTGACCTTCATCAATATTCTTAGGAGTGTTTGATTTTGTTCTGCATCTCAGTCGCTTCTTCAGGAGAACATCGTATGAAGGAAGAAAGAACATAAAGGAGGTTGAGACTTTTCGAAGCTGCACGCAAGGAAAAGTCCAAGCAGAAAAAATATCTTCGGAGGGATTCGTTCGAAACCGGTGCCCATGTAAGCACACCCATATCCTACGTTCTATCAGGGACCTGTGGATCGTGTAAACCCTCGGGTAGACTCAAGTCAAGAACCAAAAAGTTCCAGTGGATTGTTGGTTGTATTATAGCGGCGAAACAACTACCTTATGCTGTTGCATCTTCACTTTCCATAAACCCGAGAAAGTTGTGATGAAATACCCCAGTCAAGAGGCCAAGGAAAGCCTGGTTTTGAGCCGTTCTAGCCGAGAATTGTCCCTGCAGATCTAAACCCCAAGTAGCATTTGAAGGAAGGGTCGGACTGGCCCACTAGGATACCAGGAGATTCCCCCCCCCCCCCGACCTGGAAAATAATTATAAATGGAGTTGTAGTGAACATTGATTGCAACTAATGACCATATACAGATATTGATTCCATTAGCACTGCCAAATCGTGTAAAGCTGCAAAAATGATTAATGACTATGGTGCAGTTATTAAATTTACCTCGTTCGAGGGACCCCTGGGCCGCCAGTCCGACCCTGCCTGAAGGAAAGTCTCACACTTACAATATCTCTTCTCGCAACTGATCTCCGGATTGGGCAACAATTGCGACACCATTTTTTTTTCCCCAACAAGCGGAGAAAAGAAAAATGTCTGACAACCTGATTTGGAAAGAGGGGAAACAGTGTCACATTTGACGCAGACATACCTGGCGGGGAGGGGGAGGGGGAGGAAAGGAAGGGGGATTCCAGAAGTAAGAAGTCATCGGGAAACTCATTCTCTCCCTCTTCCAATATGCATTCAAGCCCCATGTTTATGGTTTATGTTTTTTTGGGGAGTCATTCAGAGAATAAATGACATTGCTCTGGTGATGTAAGTGTGGCTTAAATGCATATTGGAGTGTGAGAGGGAAGGGAGAGAATGAGTTTCCCGATGACTCCTTACTTCTGGAATCCCCCTTCCTCCCCCTCCCCTCCAGGTATGTCTGCGTCAAATGTGACACTGTTTCTCCTCTCTCCAAATCAGGTTGTCAGACGTTTTTCTTTTCTCAATTTGTTGGGGGGGAAAACGGTGTCGCAATTGTCGCCCAATCGATTTCCGGGTAGTTTACAATTAAAATCTCATGACCAGCATGGTGTAAAGAAGTGGATGCAGACGGAGCTTCCAAGTTTCCGAGACCTCGTTCTAGCCAGGGGACATTTAGGACAGGGGGGTTTCGGCTGCTCGGTGCTTTCCTTTACAAGAAATTATTGGTGTAAAAAATGAATAAAATGGAAGCAAAAATTGTTCAGTCTGAACGTTGAACCGTTTCATTCATTCATATGATAATAGATTTTGTAATCATAAAGCACTCTCCAAATTCCCATTAGAAATCAGAAGCCTGTGAGCAATAATATTTCTATGATCGACAACGATTGAAATAATTCATTGGATTATGATTAGACTCATTACTACTAATGTAATTTCATTTCAGAAATTGCCATGGAACCTCTTGTGTGAGTTGTATGACACCTTTGGCGGTTCGTATCACCCAGTAGAAGGAAATGATTGAGAACCCTTGGACTGGACTATATTCGTAGGGAAAATTGTCTCTCGAAGTTGCAAGGAAAGGGGTGGGACACTTACATATCAGGTATAAGTACTTAGTAAAAGGAGTTCTGACTTTCCTGAGGCAGGTTTCTAACGAGAGAAAGATAATTGGACGATTGAATCCATTCTATTGTGTATTCTATTGAATCCATTCTTTTGTAAACATCTTTCCATATAAGACACAAGGTTGCAATGACTACTTTTGATGATAGTATTGACCTGCATTTTACCTTTGGCCCTGAGAAAACATAAATTCAAAGCAAAGCTATCTTGGAGAATCGATCATCTGTAGTCAGCTACAAGTTTCTTGAACTAGAAGTCATCAGAGACCAATGGGGCAGTCCATCCTTTGCATAACTTCAAACAGAAAGGTAAAATGGGAGCAGGTTGCTAGTGATCGTACGCAAATATGGAGGTCATATTAACTCATTTAACCCTTTCATGCATGGTGTCCACTATTGTGGACGGCAAAATTTTTGGCGATGATGATGATCATTTAGCCATGGTACACATACCTCGAAACTTTTGGTGTATGCAGTCAACTCAAGGACACATAATCTGTTCAGTGTTGCATTCTAGCGGTGAAACATGCAGCTACTACGACAGAGTACCTCCTTAAACGTTAAACCAAAAAAGGTATATTTTCCTTTTGCTCGAAAAATTCATGCGTGAAAGGGTTAGGACTGAATTCCCAAATGAGTCGTTTTGCTTTAAATGAATGCGCATAGAACTACAATACCACACAAAAGTAATTTTCCCCCCTTTCTTTAAATTTAAATCACATTTATGAAATCAAAATGTATTGCAGGAATCATTGACAAGCCAGACAGAAATTGCAGGAATTTTTGTTTGTTGTGGAATTTACAATTTATGAAACTCCTATATACTTTATTCAACTCTCCAAAAAACATCCTCGTGCCTGAAACTATTTGGAGGAGTCAAGTTGAAACACAAGATACTTCTTTTTCTTGAGCTAACTCTGAACATGCAGGGTCCAATTAAGACTTTGTAAAATGGAAAGCTTTCACATTCACTTGAATTAGCTAGTGTATTTTATATGCCCTGGCTCAATTTCAAATTTACAGTAGTTTTTTGAACTGATTCAATCAGACTCACAATTGGATTCACAAGGGGAAAGTAAAAAAAAAAAAAAACGATGATGTCACTCTTGATTCATAGTAAATCTGCTGTTGTGGCAGAGGGAGACCTACTAGATCTATAGGCCCTTCAGCTGGCAACAATGAAACACTCCGTGAATGGAAGGGTTCTTATTTTTCAGTTCACCCCTGCATACACTTCTTTGTTTGATGAGGCCCATTACAACTTTGGATGTTTTGTGGGTTACAGGGTACAGTGCTTATTTACATTTCAGTGCATATACCCAGCAGAATATAGTACTTGTATTTAATATAACCCCCAAATACTTTTACATTCTACATTAGTACATTGAGAGGTACTTATCCCAACAGTCATGAATGACCTCACCATACCATTCACTTTCCAAACACATACACACATTTTGCTGAGTGGATTCAAACACATAAATTGACTGGAAGCAATTCTCTTTACTCTGTGAAAATTCCTTTGTAAAACAGAAATCCCCATCACTTTGCATGAATAGTGACAATTAGAAATCATGAGATCGTGATGCGTAGAAATAAATGGCCCAGGATGGTTCCCTATCACAGACATAAAATGAGATGGAAGAACCTGGGAAACTGTCCCATATACACTCTACCCAAAAATTTCATACAATTTGCAATGTTATGGTCATACACACACACGATCACACACAACAGGCAAAAATACTATGTAAAAGTTGATGACGAAATGACTTATGTAAAACTGAACATCTGATGATGTTGAATACTGACACAAATCAAGACTGGGAAGATGAAGTTTCCTGGGTGAGCCATTCTTCAAGAGAAGCCCATTTCTGGGTGTCGTCCTCACTCGAAGAGCCCTCTTCCCCACAACTGACATCACTTGGGTACCCCTCGCCTCGACGGAATTTTGTGCTTGGCATCTCTTCCTCTTCTTCCTTCTGCTCCTCCTCTTCATCTTCCTGATCTATCCTCCGTCGCTTCACAGTCCCGTCTTTTTTCCATCCATGGGGGCTATCTCCTGATAGAATGAAGACAATTAAGAGGCACGCAAATGAAGCTACTGGAATACATGCAGCATAGCCTGTGGACCTCCTTCAAAATGCTCCCCTCCAGTACAGGACTCAAGCTTTGTCCACCAATGAAAGCAAAATATGGCATGCAAATGGAGACATGATAAAGACTGACATTGTTTTTAGTGAAGTTTGGCCTGAGACCAATCTCCCAATTGCCAATTGAAACCTGGTCAAGACATTTGCCCTTTGCAAGCTACTACACTCACTTATTGCTCTCTGTTAATTGAAGACAAAGTCCCAAACCTTCATGGATATAAGACCAACTGTCAGATAGGATTTTCTTGGCTAATTTGTAACAATTCAGTTTCATTATGACACTCAAATATTGTAATTCTACATCACTATGCTACATGATAATGACCATTACAAAAGCTCCAACTTCACCATTCCATTGATTTTGTCAATACCAGTATTTTTTGCAGACAATACTGCTGAAAATTTCTAACTGACTGTGATGCAAATAAGCACACTTACCACTGAGGGAACTTGAACTTGATTCAGAGTTGTCATCTTCTAACACCCTCTTCCTTCCTCCTCGACTGGCATCATCATCATTCTCGTCTTCATCGTCTGTAAGTTCTGAGTCAACTTCCTTGCTCATCTCCTGCACATCAGTCATCCCCATGAACATCATGGGGTGAAGAGACTCCTTGAATTCCTGGTCTCTCTGTGCTCCTGGCTTCTCCTGGCTTTCCCTTGGAGTTGCAGCCTCCTCTCGATCCTCCTCTGAGGAGCAGTCCCCCAAAAAATCAGGGCAGTCAACTCCCTGATCATCTTCTTTCATTGTCTCCTCCCCTTCATCTTTGTCCTCTTTATCTTTCTGTTTCCTTTTCTTATGTTTCTTAGTCCCATTTTCCGGGAAGAGGAGAAAGAGCCGCTCATCAACATGTTCCCACCGCTCCCCAGAGCACCAAAGCCAATCAGGAGTGACAAGGTGAATGCCCGTCAATTTCTGAGCTTCTCGGACCTTCACAGTGCCAGCTTTAGCAGCCACAACATGAGTTGTTTCCCCTGGGATCACCCGGTCCTTCACCTCAGCCCCAAGCTGTTTGGCTATTGCAAATGGTTTACTTCTTGACAGAGGCACCTTGGTAGGCACGACACCACTGAAGACAATGGAAACATCCCGTAACACGGATTTGCGGACATGGGGTACAATCGTCTTCAGATTTGGAATGCTTTGGGAGTTGTTTTTGACCATGTCATCATAGATCCTGCAATAAAAGACCCATTAATGAAATTGGATGCAATCTAGCAGTTAGGAAGAATAGTATACATACCATGTAGATGTACCATTACAGCCTTCTTAAAAAAAGAAAGAAAAATTCCTTGATCCCTCTGCCTCCTAGAGCTGGTATATAATCCCTTCTAATCTATTGATTGCTAATCATCCCATGCCACAAGATAGCAACTAGCACATCAATTGACCCATGCATACATATCTCACTTTTCAATGAGATACCCCATATCAGAATTGAATGATAAGCAATCAAAAGATGGAATAATGCCAGTTTGAGAAGATGCAGGGAATGGGGTGCCTTACTTAGAACAATATAATATTTATGATTGCATAGGGACACAATATGAGATCCTCTCACTTATAAAAGGTGCCATGGATTTTTTTCAATATGTCCTCTAGGTGCAGGAGGTAATCATCAAGGTCAGGAGGGTCTAGGAGAGGCTCCTCATCACGAGACTCAATTGTAGACTCTGATGATGTCTCCAAAGGCTCCTCACTCTTCAGCTTTTCTATAGGTCCCTTCTCAAGTACCTCCAAAGGGTCTTCACTCTTGGGTTTTTCTACCAGCACCTCCTCATTGATGTCTGGTTTGCTGCTCCTTATCCCTTCAACTTGTACTTTGTCCTCCTTCCTTTCACCTTCCAGAGTCTCTTTACAGCTTTCACTTTCCATAGTCTTTTCATTTTGCTCACTGACATTGTTGCAAACTTTCTCATCTGACTCTGGATCACTGGATATTCCATTCACAGCTTCAACGATGACATCAGCCTTCTCGGAAACAATCATATTTGCTAGCTCTTTCCTCTGCTTTTCAATTTTCTCTTCCTGGGACCCTTCCTTGCTATCCTTATCACCTTGAAGTGAAGGAACATCTTGACTGATATCTTCTGATTCCCCCACATCATCCTTGTCTGTGATTACTTCTTCACGCTTCCCAGCACCAGATTCACCAGGAGCCTTTAGATCTTTGTGCTCATTGGCTGAAAAAATTGAAGCCATTTATACCAAATATGAACAAAAAATATGTATTAAATAAGAATACTACTCACCCAGTTCTTCAGCATCATATCCTTCCTTGTCATCTTTCTCCTGCTTGCTAAAGCCTGGGGGGGCATTGATATCCCCAGTATGCCTGAAGAAATGGTAAGGTTTCACATGCACCAAGTTGGGTGCAAATTTCCACACATCCTCCCTGTCATCTATGATGCACACCATGTCATCCCCACAAGGAAACAGGTCCCTAAACAAGGAACATATATATGTCCATTCATAGTTGTTTAATTATCAGGTAAAAGGAATTCCAAACAAGAAGGGCTATACTTGAGATTGGCGGTTTTGGTCATGGCATCAAAGCACTCATCTCGGGAGAGGATGCGATGAGAGAAATATCTCCCTTGTGGATCAAGAAATGAGGCAATTTTGTGAGCATACATGCGTGCTCCAAAAGTGCAAATATGCATTTCATAGAGTTTGCTGATTTCTTGGAGGAATCTCTTTGTCCCTGGCCTCAGCCGCGTGTGATACCAAGGAGAAGGATAGCCCAAGGTGAAGTGATACACATCCTGGAATGAAAGGCTAAATATAACTTTCAGGTTTCTGCATTTATGTCTCAACTGATAATAAGGCTGAAAACATTTCTCCAAAAACACAAGTTGCTGAAGATTTTGACTTAGTAGCCATCAATTTGCAAAATTTTTGGAGAACTCATAGGTTTGATATCCTAACCAATACATACAATTTAGCAGCACACATTCAAACAAATGCCTCCAATAAGAAGGTGCTGCATTGTTAGTTACCCAAACAGCTGATACAACAGAGTGTCCTTGGAATGGGAGGATGCAAAATAAAAGGCAAAGGAAGGTTTCAAGAGTGAGTTAGAAGATACTTTTCCATTTCCAAGGCTGGGGTTACCCAGAACTTAGCCCAGATTCCTTCTCTGCTCCCTGAGTATTTCATAATGATGGTAACTGGAATAAATTTCCTTTGTCTTAAAAGAAATGTACAAGAAAGACCATGAGGTGCATGTTGTTACCTGCCTCTGAGATCTGTTTCTGGCCCTGATTTAAATGAATCACAGTAAAGTAAAGAACTGACCATGCAAAAATGAAAAAAAGAGTAGGCCTGAGTGGACAGAGCTTTTAAAGAGAATGAAAATTTCAAGTTTACATATGTTTTAGTTTAGTTTTCATACAGGCATAAAAATTACCTTAATGAAGTTGGCTCCTTAAATTAAAAAAAAGGCAAGGGTGGCTGAAGCCAAAAGAACAAAAACAAACTTGAGAGGGATATGAAGGGGAGAGAGGAGCCACCAGTGAATGCAAATTGCTGAAAACAGTTTCCATGGTTTGATGAGAAACCCAAAAAAAGCATCAATAAAGTATGATTTTGATACACTTTAGAAGGTAAAAAGTAGCAGGGTGTTTCCAGTTAATGGGATGTTCCTTACCATTCCAATTACCAATAAAAAAAACTTTTGGGCACTTATGGTCAAGTGATGAGAAGTAAGACTGCTTTGCTTGCTTAAAATTCTAAAAGAGACTCAATATAAGTTAATTTTTTGCTGCAATATTTCCAGAGTAAACAAAAATAAATTCCATGTTTTCATATTAAAACCAAGAGATTTACAATATATAATGAGAGCAACATTTATATAAAAAAGTATGACATTAGAAGCATGTAAGTAAATTATAGAAACATTTAACTAAATTAAAATTATATTAATTCATGAAAATTTGTGGTTTTATCTGAAAACTCAAGAAAGCATATAAAAGATCATTGAACAACTTAATTTTAAAAAATCTCTGCTGACATTCATATACAAATATATATATAACCAAAGCTAGAACAAAAGCTATCAGCAATTTTGGTCAACTGAATGGGTTTTATTATTGTTGACATAATAAGAGATTCAAAGCCCTACTCTGATTTAATAGCAGCATTAGTGTCACTGAAACTCTTGATAACATGCAATTTACTAATTATCTCAAAGCTACTGTTGACTCAAATTGACTTAAAATATTCAAATATAAACCTAAGATAATACATATTAACATAAGATATTGCAGAGCTCTGAAAAATGCTCGAGAAAACAGTTGAAAATTCATTCAAGTTTGTCCACAAGTATCAATATATGAACTCAAAGAGTTTTACCTGTTTCTTGAACCTGCATATACATACATATGGAATAATGAAGGAGGAATCCAAATGGAATGTGCCAGTAAAATATGTCAAAAATCTGTGAACTCATTTTTACCATTCCATCATTCACTCCCCCCTTCCCCTTCAAATAACCTGAGATATTTAATCAAGAAACAGAGGCATTAATATCTTTTGAAAGCAGACAGCAGTGGATGTATAAGCAATTGATTGTTCCAAATTGGACAATGGAATTTACCATATTATTCAAAAGCAAATAGTCTTTGGTTATGATAATATTCAATTCAGGGTTAACAGGAGCAATTAGTGAACTGATTCCCATAAATGGGGAACCAATTTTGAACTACTAATAGATATGTTTCACTTAAGGTATTTGCCTTTTGGTTCTGCAGAAATGGAGTTCAGAACTAGCACAGACATGAGACCTCATTTTTCCATGGACACAAAACTACTAACCTTAAGGTTGGCTGGTATGTTGTCATTTGTTGTGTGAACAAGGGTTTGATCCAAATCCACGAGAAGGACCAACTGTCGGCTGTTAAGCAGCCGCTGCTGATCTGCTCGGCCCAATGCTTTTGCTTGCTGAAAAGTGAATTCCCACATTTAGCCATCTGTGTCTAGAAATGCAATGAACTAGGACAATGACTGCCTAACATAAACACCCCTACCCACCTCTTTGCTGACTAACAGTTCAGGAATGGAATGAACCATTGCAACAGATGCACGGCCACTTTTCTTCTCCTCTTCTCTCAAGTCTGCCCCACATTCAGCACACATGTCCTTGATGACAGTAGCATGGGTGCAGGTTTCCAGTTCCAGCAATGGACACCTACAGCAAATCAAGACTTACATTATTCACATATCTCCAGATTAATCCTAGCTAGAAATAATAAGTCACTCATTTCCCCCTACCCTTTCTTGATAAGCTCTCCCTCCTTCACCAATATGCTCTTCACTTTGCCGAAGTCCTGGGCTCGAAGTTTCAAGGGAAGTTGGTCATCTTTTAGCTTATAAAGTAGAATAATAGATCCATGAGTCACTTGGATATCTGGTTTTACTTTCAGCTTCACCACCTTTCCTGTCTCTCCTTCAAATGTTACAACCTTCATCTTCAATAGGCCTGGATCTGTGCAAGCTTACATAGGAGCTATGGTCTCTGCAATCTGCAAATGTATAAAATGCCCTACAAAAAGAAAAACAGAGAATTGAGTAAATTTTACCTCAGAATGATTATAATATATTAGCAAAGGTGAATAACCTTGCAGGGTAGCCTGAAGAAAAGGCATGTATGCATGAAAGGATCACACTTTACTTTTAAAGCAAAAGAGGTTTCTCTGGTTGAAGAACTGCAGGGTTTATCTGCATAAACGATGCATGCCACTTCTCAGTTTCCAATATAAGTGGGAAGTAGTGGCAAGACAGCGCATGCCCAGATGGAGAAGCAAACTTCTCCATCAGTTATAAACAGGTTCTATTCTAGAAGTACCTCAGCTCAAAAAATTGCATATAAAGCCAAAGCAGCCAGTAATGACACACTTCTCTGTCACATAAACTGCTGCACAAACAAATTTTGAACCCCTGTTATAAAAGAATATTCTTCAAGAGTTGAAGAAGACTGCACTGGTTACACCTTCTTGGGATGAGGAACTACTTTCACTAAAGGAAGCACCCATTTGACAACAAACATGCAGCAAAAATAACTCATGATTCCATGTAGAACCCTCTTGCAGAACTTGTAGAAACCTCAAACCTTCAAAATTGGGCTATTAGCACTTAGTAATTCATCTATAGAAATTAATAATTGAAAGTTTGAGTTATGTCATTCCTAAATTTCCCTTCAGTCAAATAATTTCTAGGACTACTGGAATTATAATCAACATCAGGCTGTGTAAGTCAATGTTACTATTCCAGCTGGCAAGAAAGGATCACACAAGGAATGATTTTAAGCTGTAAACACTATTATTAACCCTTTCATTATTATGCAAAAAAATATCCACTATCACCCTTGTGCTACTAAAATTGGAATTATTTACCTGATTACAATGGTTTAAGATTATAACATTATATAAAAAATATTGAAGTTACATACATAAATAGCAGTAAATTGTTGGAGTCCGAGAACATACTCAGGCTACCACTACATGAGTCCAAATGTGTACTCAGGCCAGCAGCAAAAATGGTAATAGGAATCACATATAGCCTACTATGTTCTGGGAGGAAAGAGATGGAAAGATAAATAAAACATGCTGATCCAATTGACATGCTAAAACAGAAACTACAGCCTCAAGTTTATCATAGAACCTGAGCCAGAACTCATTAAAAAGAGATTTGTTAGACTTTCAGACCTCAACTCGAGAAGGCCGAATTATCTCATCCTTCTACCTATGGGCACAAAGTATTAGAAGGTGGCTTTACAATTTTTTTTGTGGGGCATGAGCTGAGTTGACTTGTCAGAATAATGGGTATATAGGTGCAAACTCAGATTTCTATTTAGTTGGGTTAAGACGATGCCTTGCCCTGCAATATTGCCAAATGGGCTAGACTACGTCTAAGGGCGAAGCATACACTGGAATTGCAATAATACTGTTCATCCTTAGTCTTTCTTCTCCTCCAATGCATGACTAACTTAGGCCAAACTTCAGTGAATGATTTCTAATGGCTTGTATTTAATCCAGATCTAAGCCTACCATCCCACAAATATCTGGTCTTAAATGGAGGCCTGCTTTTGGATGTTTGGGAAATAAATATTGAGAAATAAAACTTTCTACATAAGGGCCTAACATAATAGAGCTAATAGAGACTGTTAGATGCGACCAGAGTCTACTATTCATCAAAAAGACGTGGAGCTGTAATCACTTATCGATACAAGACAGACAGTTCATGCCAAGCCTGTTGTATCCGGGTAATGTGAGATTCAACACATGACACTGTACGTATATACGAATAGGCTAACCTAGCTGCTAGTGTGAAACCCCATGCAAGCCGCCATACTGAAAAATTCCGCGGGCTCGCAATCACGGCTGATGTGGTGTCTACGACACTTTGCTTCTGAAAACTCAGAGATTCCTCCCCTGGAAGCCTCTACCATCCTTTCTCAACTTATCTTCATTTCAACCCTGCTCGTTCATATTAGGACTACCCTAGAGTAATGATCGTCTCCGTGTTTCAGGGAAACTCCTGAGCTAGTAGCATGGCCAGGGTCTCATCTTTGGGGGTCAGGGGCAAAGAAGTTTGGGGAAGGGAGGCTAAACTACAAGATGTTAAGCAAAGTAGGACCTATCAGGTTTTAAAAAACTAAAAAACAAATAGGGTTGCGATTGAAGGCCAGAAAAAATGTTGCTTGTCTACGTGAGCAAACAGGAAGTAAGGCGGTTCTTGAGCTAAGAATTAAGTAGGACTCGTCATCTTGCTAGGTGTAAAGGCTCAAACACCCGGATGCTCATATCTTAGTTATTGGGCAGTATTGGGCTACTCCTCCCATCCTCTCCCTTGGCTATCCCAATGGCTCGGACACGTGGCACGTCCGTTTCTATATGTGGGGCGTTAAGAAACCATAGTGGTGGAGCCCGAATCCTGATAGCGTATTCCCGAAATGACCACAAGGGGTCTGAAATGACAGGGATGTTAAAGGTTACCTGCGATTGGAAGAGGTGGAGTTTTCAGAGAAGGATCGGTCGACTGGAGTTTTCAGAGAAGGATCGGTCGACTGGAGTTTCAGCATGAGGTCACATTCATGAGGCTTATGCGTCTTGTGATCATATAGGAATTGTCATTTATGGCGGCTGTTATTAACCTTGAGCTTGACGACCGGTCCCACGCCAGCTGGTTTTTCTTTTCCACTTGTTAGCATGAGATGGCCTTGGCTTTCTGTCTTGTCCAGATGGAGTCCCTTCCTCTACTCTCCCAATTTTGTCCAGAAACGACATCCCGTTCGCCAATAGGTTTATTGTAGGAGGGGATCCAAATTTCGCATTTATCGCCCGAAGGAACACGGAATCCACGAACGAATAAACTAAACCGTAATCATAAGAACGAGTGACCTACGCAGCTGGAAAGCAGTCCGCGCAGCATGCCAGTATTACCGATGACGATGCTGGCACGAGGCAGCCATCCTCTCCTCCAGGTCGAATTGAATTGGTGGGAATGAGCCTCGCAGATGCAACTTTCCCCCGCCATGATTAACGTTCGCCCTCGCACATCATCTCCAAAATCGGCACATTGCCTTTACTTGCCAGGGCCTCCTATTTCCACAAAGTTACTTCATAGCTAACCAGTACTTCTGGGGTTATGAAAGTACGAGGCTGAGGATCATCCAACGCTTAAACCGATCGACCTAGGACAAAAACTATAGAACTGATTTCGATAAGTCCTGTTCTCTTTGACTCGTCTTGCTCTAGAATCTAGATGAATGCCTTCGTAGGGTATCGAGATTGAACTGAAGGGAAAGTACTGGGAAAGGTACAAAAAGTCCATGACGTTGAGTGACCTAAAGCAAAAACGACTGGTTCGAATTCGGTAAATGTTGTCCAACTAGACTCGAGTTAATGTGGAAGAGTACCCTTGGGGTATCGAGTACTGGACTAGTGATGCAAATAGTAAAAAATAGTTTCTCTTTGGGGCACGGAACTCACTTGAAAGAGTGATTGACTCATCCATGAAACAGGCATAGGGTTTTTTTTATATGCTACGGTGATTGCGTTACGTATGGCAAGCAGTAATGATTTGTTGTTTCACCCAAAAAATCGGTCCTTTATCATAATTTCCTTCTGAAAAAATTTATTGAAAGGGGGTGAAACCTGGTGAAATGTGAAAGGAATGGAGGGACCAATAAGTGCTACCTGGGATTTATTTCGTGAGCAAAAAAAATCCCCCATTCACGCGATGTCATCACGAGATTGCGAGAAACGAATGGCACCAATCCTGGGAAAAGTGGTTTCATAGGTTACTCGTGTTTGCTGGACTACTTGTCGAGGCCTCCGAGACCCGAGGGGATTTCTGGTGAGAAGAAAAAAACATCGACAGCTGCTCGTTTCTCCTTCGTTCCGGCATGTTTCCAAGAAATCTGGGCATGTTCGAACGATCGAGATTTTAGAAAGGCAAACCCTTGAGCACAAATCGTGAGAGACCACGCCCCAAAATCGAAGAAACACGCCTTCGGGGCGTAATAGTCGCCCATGAAGACATATATCTCATAAATTCACACGAGAACGTCGAAACAGTGGAAAGGTTCGCTTAAAACATTCGGATGGCGTCCCTGGGAGGAAACACGAACCTCATTGCATCCAGCCGTTCAAACTCGAATCTTCACAGTACAATGCTCATCTTGGCACGTGGTAATCAGCTTGTCTAAAGCAGAAGATGCTCCTGAATAGTGTGTCGAGAGCCGTTCGTGCGACGCGAACGGGCGTGACTAGAATGCACGTTGCGTGTCCCTCGATTTCACGCTTTTCATGGCCAGCTTGATGGCAAATTTCACGTTGCGGATCATACTTTGCAGTGGAGTATAACCTGAAAAATGGGATTTCGCAGGTATGGTCAATGAATTCCTCATTGATTTCATGAGCGCCTCAGCGGTTCTTGCCGATTTTCTTGGTGCAGAGGAAAGGCACGCACCGAATTTCGAAATCCTGTTGCAGTTTTTTTAAAAACACTTTTGAGTTCCTTCGGTTCGGCAATTGCTTTCTGCATTCAACCAAATAGGCCAGCATTGTTCCAAAAATTGAAGTATGGAGCGTGTTGCAGCCCTGCAACATAGAGTGAATGCAATGACAAAGTTTTCACGATGAGGTCGGTCCAGGTTGTTGCATATCTAGTACAAATAGGGTTAAAATAACATAGGTGGAATGGGGTTCCCTTGACACTTCTTTATTATCTGACTGAATAAGTCAGATAGGAAAAGAATTCGTGACCACACGCGACTGCAAAAATGATCATTGCACAAGGACGAAGCGAGACTGGTAAAGAAACACTTCTCGGAGATGCCACTGACTGCTTTGGAATCCCTCACTCCACGATAACTCTCTACAGTTTAAACTATCGAGTGTCGAAATAATCCGCGCGTGATTTAAGTCTTCATAGGCGATTCTGAAGCCCCAAAGCCACGTCCAAGACTCACTCCGTCTTGCACCGTTTTCACCAAGGCTTTCAAGCATCCCTGGGACTCAGTCGTTTCCCTCGACGGATGTCCATGGATTCAAA